ACAGATAGAGCCAAAAATACTAGGTGTAGTCATGGACTCTGACCTGTCACATTAAAAAAATTACTAAATCAGCCTACTATCACCTAAAGAATATATCCAGGATTAAAAGACTAATGTCACAGCAGGATTTGGAAAAACTTGTCCATGCTTTTATCTTCAGTAGACTGGACTACTGCAATGGTGTCTTCACAGGTCTCACTAAAAAATCTATTAGAAAGCTGCAGCTGATTCAGAACGCCGCTGCTCGAGTCCTCACTAACACTAAGAAAGAGGATCACATCACTCCTGTTCTGAAGTCTTTACACTGGCTTCCTGTATGTCAAAGAATAGATTTCAAAATACTGCTGCTGTTTATAAAGCACTGAATGGTTTAGGACCAAAATGCATTTCTGACCTCCTGCTAAATGATGAACCATCCAGATCTCTCAGGTCTTCAGGGACTGGTCAGCTTTCTGTCCCCAGAGTCAGAACTAAACATGGAGAAGCAGCGTTCAGTTATTATGCTCCAAATATCTGGAACAAACTCCCAGAAACCTGCAGGTCCGCTGCAACTCTGACTACTTTTAAATCCAGGCTGAAGACTTTTCTTTTTGTCGCTGCTTTTAATTGAACTATTCACATCTTAGACTGCACTGTAACTTTTATCCATGTATTTTTTCTTTTAATGTTTCTTTTATTATCTTTTCTTTTTAATGACTGATTTTAAATGCCATTATCTGAATGTCTTTCATTTTTTAGAAAGCACTTTGAATTGCCTTGGGTTGAAAAGTGCTATATAAATAAACTTGCCTTGCCTTCTGAAGTTATTGTGTCTTACTGTATATCAGGTGTAGAGACATATTCTGACTAGATATTAGAGACATATACTTGGCAAGATTTCGAGCTTTTGTAGTGAGCAAGAGGAGGAGGAGGAAGAAGAGGAGCAAGAGGAAGAAGAGGAGGAGGAGGAAGGCCTGCAGGGACATGGCTGACTCCAGATCTTATCGCTCTACCATCCCGTGTTCGGTTACATCCAGTTTTTAATTTGGCACACTGAGACAAGTCAGCGTTCACAAAGAAGCCTTTATGATCTGTGTCGATCGGTGCCAACGATGAGTTTCCCTCTTCATCGAAACACACACTCTCCTGCAGCTCCATCAGTCAGGATGCTGCAGGACGGAGAGAGAAAAGGGCTATTTTTCAAAGCTTGTCATTTCAAATTGTGTTCAACATCCAACTTTGGGGTCATTTCTAAGGCTGTGTTTGTATAATGTATGGATGTAT